CGATTACTGCTCTCATCCTCCTGCCACAGCACATTCCTGTCACATTTCCTTACAAACAGAGTGCCACCAATGACTGCACGTCTGCAAATGTTTAGTATAATGTCACGCACTCAATGCCTGTAAATGTAAAAAAAGATTTCATTTTGGTTTTTATCATCTCTGGAGTAGAGTGATGCAGCTCATAATTCTCCTTCAGAGCTGTACATTGTCCAGTTTTATTCCTCCAGCTTGGGCATAGCCATGCCCCCCTCCTCGCTCGAGTCCACCCACTCACTACTTTCACCATCTCTGGTGCTAAGAAGAAGACAGAGCCCACTGTGCTGTATTAATGATTGCAGCAAGAGCCTCGCCATCATAGCAGATTCAAAAATCATGCAATAGTAAAATGGACAGACTGTGTTCACTGTATAAGCATATATTAGACATTATTTGTCTTCCCTTCACATTCATACCTAACTGTACATACACAGTTGCTCCAAATGCAGCTAAAAGAATCATGATCTTAAAGCTACAATACAATGTGATAAAGATATGGCTTCTCTAAACGTGACCAGTATCACTGATCTTCAATGAAACAATATCAGTACAACATTGTATGTGTGTGCATTCATGCTTGTGACAGTGGCAGTGTGTTAGCAGTGAGTGGATTAAAGGAGATCTCTATAAACGGATCAAAAGAGAAGAGAAGCAAACATCAGAAATATAATTCAATCACTTATATTAGTGGAATTAAAGAAAAAAAAATTCTTTCAGTCACTGCCAATAAATCACGAGTCTGCAGGAGCAACATCAGGACATAACATTTGCAGTCTGGAAAAGGGCTCTCATGTCGAACTAAGAAAAAGGCTCAGAAATAGCTTTGTTTTCCATGAATGTGTAATGAATTTGCACTGGAATCAGAAATGAAGAGCCTAAACTGTTTCCCTGCAGCAGATTTGATTGTTTGGAGCAAATATGAAAGGCCATGAACATACACAGGGGAGCTTTACACAAAACCAATAGCACCGCAAAATCTAAGTGATGTGACTACCTGAAGTGTCAAGTCCACATTAAGTCCTCAGTCCAGGGTTATGTAGGATCATCTGTATAGGTCACTGTCTCCCATTTCAACCATCAAACACATGCCAAATACCGTAACTGATTAGGGTGGAGTGCAGAAGGAGCAGGCCAGTCAGGTACAGCAACACAAATCAACCTGCAGCCAGTGTTTTTGTATATTTTACAGACACCAGTTCATAGATTACAGGTAAGATTTACAATTTAACATCAAATTTAAATCTGAATGCGTTACAAATAATTGATTATGACGTCACAACAACATTAACTACTTTTTCTCCAACTGGATCAAATAATGAGTCAATATCACATTTCCCACGACAAGCATATTGTAACAGAAACATCAGCTTGCTGGCCAAACACCTGAAACAGCATGAACAACAGAATTAAACCTGGTGTGGCTTTCTACAAAAACAAAGCTTTGTAGCTCACTGACATGATGATCCTGCATTTTCCTTCATAAACCATTTTCATTCACCTATTATTTGGTCTAAATTTAACCAAGCAAGAGATACAATACTGTCTCCTATTGTGGCTGCATACAGATTAGTATTTCACCTATATTCAGGTGTCAGACAAACATGCATAATCCTCTCCTCTCAGAAATATAATGACTAAAGACTATAGTTGGTGTTGAGTGTGTTGCTGTCACCCACCTATGCTTTGGGTGACTGTCCTCAGTCTCTCCAGCAGCTCCCCCAGGGCCATCTCTTCTGTCTTCATCCACAGGATCATCCTCCAGAGGGACAGCGGAAGACCAGCTGCCCAGCCAAAAGACACTTTTACAGGAAGAAGAGACAGCTTGCCTGTTTTTTCCTGAGCGGTGCTTCGAAGAGTGGATGATGGTGAGGAGGACGGGAGAGGGAGACTGTTGCAGTGGCAAGCCCAGCTGAGCAGAAGGGATGCAGCAGGGTAAACTAGCCCGGGATGTGACTGCCTGGCTGCTGTCTTGTGCGACACACGGATGTTGGAGGAAAGAGATGTGTGAGAGAGGCGGTGTGTGCAGCTCGCAAGTGCTGGGATGTCTGTGAGAAATGGATGCTTTCGAGGATGGAGAGGATGCTGCAGAGGCAGATGAGGGAGTGATGCCGAAGCTGTGACAGCCCCAGATACACTGACGATTGCTCCGCAGAGGGATGCAGAGCACAGGATGCTGGCAATGGAGATGGGGAGAAGGTGGAGCTGGAGGCAGCCTCATTCGCACATGCATGCTTCAGCCTCAGCACACATGATGGTGCAAACCTGTGCAGACCTGTCAGACAGACCGGGAGGGGGAGGGGAAGTGAAGGTCAGCGCTGCAGTTTCACACAACAAAGGCTGATCCAACAGTGACACCCAGTGTGGAGGGAAGGCATGACGGCCATGTCGTGGAACATTCTTATCTGCAGGAACATACATACTGGTCATGCACCATTGATTATGCTGCATTGCCACCATGTGACAACACTTGGTTATGACAAACAGTTGTTGTTACTCTACAAAAGGTTTATCACGTTTTAGGGACTTTATCACATTTTCTTGCACATTGGGCCACCATATAGATCCATGGGCACTTAATCATGTTTTATATACCACAGGGGCAGCCAAGGGGGCACTTTTGCAGCATTTTATTGTCCTGAGTGAGTTGAGTAGTCAACATTTTAACCTTTTAATGTGCTCAATAAGAAAACAGCAATGAGAACGTTTTTTTTCTCCTCTGGGGCAATTATAACAACAATCAAAGACCCCACAGTTTGTTTTTTACTATAGGCCTCTACCAAACGTTTGAGTCACTTCATGGTAAAAAGTAAGTAAGTATTAAAAAATCGTACTGTTATAATGACATTTTCACCAAATATGTAATGGAATAAATATTTTATAATAACAACAGTGGATGTCCATAAGTTTCATTTAATAAAATTATAAATGTATTATTAATCTATTATTAGCACCATTACCTTTATCACTAAAGGACAATTTTCTTGTTTTCAGTAAAAATAAAAATCATGCTTATTATTTCAGCATATATAATGAAATAACAATTAAATATATGATACCAACAGCAGTGAATTTTTTAGTTATTTTAGCATTATAACCTTAATCGCTATAGGACAGAATAACATTAAACATTGTATTAACAACAGTGAATGATTATACGTTTTTTGCTCGCTTCACTACCTTAACCATAAACAAACAACGTGTTTGGTAGAGCATGTTTTCAGAAGATTTACCTTTATTACACTTTTTTTTTGGTGTATCAAGTCACATAATTCTGTTCTGTAAGACCCTTGAACCTATAAATGTATTACCTCTCCACCAAATAGTCTTCTTGAGTCACTTTCTCGTCGGCAGCTTCCTGTAAGGAGGTGAACTGCCACTTAAAGACACAGCGCCGTCTACTGGATTTATTTAGTCCATCAACAGGTGAGTAGCAGAGAGCTGTGAAAAAACTGAAACAAGAAATTTGGCTTAAAAAAGTGAAATGGACAATTTCAATTTTCATTAATTGATTAGGTCAACAGGAGGAGGTATGTTGGTGTGTCAGTCAGCATTTTGCTCTATAGGCTTACTGTATGAAAGCTGTAATACAACTTCCAAACTCTTAGCAGGACAATGTTCTGTGGTGCCCAGCCCATGTGAGCTTACAAGACACTAAACAGCAACATCAGCCAAGATGGCCACATGACAAATTCTAATGTATAGTTCCACAAATTCAAAAAGAAAACATATGAGATTCAATGTTTATGACCAAAATGTCTCTTGATGTTGGATACAGTACTCTGTGGTCTTAATTGCCATGCACTTTACAAATCTCACTACAACAAAAATATCCTACTTCAAGAGACAAAATAAATCAGGGTTCTTCAACTGGATTCTTCCAAACAGATGGTTCCTCAGTCATTGTACATGTGGCAGTGAAACAGTAAATCAAATTCATCCTAAATAACACCAAGATCATATAAAACACATAAATGTTGCTCTTCGGGAATACCTTTTTATCTGCCTCCCTCCACCATGAACTGTATACGCCCTAATCCTTTATTCTCATTTATTATCAATAAAAACTAATAATCTGAACAAAATTTTATAAGGGTTACGTCATTATACATTGCAAAAAACATTTTCAGGTGTAATTTTTTACTGGTTTTCACAGTTTGATTGAATCTTTGTCATTAACATGCAAAACAAATGTGTTTCTTTTTGTGTACACTTTATCAGTGCTGACTGTGCTCATGAGCCTGACGTTGTGTAAAGTGATAATAAGAGAATAACAGTGTCCATGTGTCCTTTTTTGTACTGCAAATACTGTAATTTTGTTTGTGTATAATTCAATGCATGACATTTACTTTGAATGGCGTATTATTGCATTTAAATAGAACTAATGATTTGCTTTTAATCTACTTTTAATTCAATATGTGATATGATGACATTATGGTATGACATTCATATGTTCATATGATGTACCATGATGAACTATACTTACCAAATGATACCATAAAACTATAGTCATCAAACTATACCAACCAAATAAAATGAAACTGTGTGCACAAAGATTAATTTATGTAAGTTAGAAACTGAACATTCATCGAAGTATTTATGTTGCGAACAACACCAAAGTGGGCAGAATCCTGAAGGGAAACTTCTTTCTCTTAAAAGTGAAACTTAATTCTTTACAATGACTTTAGGCATCATCAAAATGTGCTGTTTTAAACAATGTGCAAGGGGTGCAAACCATTTCCTTTGCCACCTGTTTCCAAATGTACACTTCAGTTAAATGAGTATATGAAGTGGGATACATTCTGTCACCTTAAAAAATCCCTCAGAACCTATGGGTATATTTGTTTTTTCCCCTCAATGTTTTGGAACAAGGAGCATTACAAATTGTATTGTATTATGTATTACCTAAACTGTTAGGTGTGGGCCCCATGAAAGCTCCCCATTTTCCCCTAAATATACAACAAATATACAAGTGTTCTCACTCTTTCTTTATTACAAGCAGAATGACAATACAGTGCTTTGCCCTCAATTGCTACAGACAGGCTGGCAAAAAGTCAACAGGTGAACTTTTAAAATCTTTGTCCAAAAAAATAAAATAAAGACATTTTATTTTTTCTCAAAACCTGTTTAGTAATACAAACAGTGCTATACTGAAGGTATGATATGAAGCGTGCTGCTCAGAGCACAGAAGTCGACATTTCAGACCTTTGCCAAGCTCAGGAATGACAGGAGGAGCACCTGCTGTTCTGCTGATGGACTTAGAAAAAGCAGTTTTGACATTCTGATCAGCAGTAGAAGGCTGGTGCAATAAACCCATTTGAGACAGAGGCTGACACCTACAGACAGCCCATTCCTAGTCAAGTTATTTGGTCACTTTTTTTTTTCTCACCCACTACAATCTTCTTAGAAAAATAACTTGTGAGGAAGAGTGAACACTTATAAACCCCAGTCGACAGACAATAGACCTTGTTTTAGGGGAAAAACTGATCAGCTGTAGAACAAAGTGCAGTGTGTAGACCTATAGGTAAATCTCTAATGAATCATATAATGTATATGTTGCTCTCATTTTGGTTACAAACTTGAACATACATTCTAACAGAGTTAAAATATAGTATTCTCTCTGGGATACAAAAGTAGCAAAAGAAATATTCCGAATGGACAACACAAGAATGACAAGTTGTAGTGAAAAATTGCGCTGTGGAGGACTCAGCTAATAATAAAATAAATTGTTTTTGAAGAACTACAAAGAATTTCCCCCTTACATTATTAAAGTAAATTAGACCTTACAGCATTATTGTGGTAGGATTGGTATGTGACATGTAGAATATGTCTGGATACAGTATGGCAACAGCACAGTGAGGTGGGACACTGTATAACAAGCACCAAGGCTCTTTTATTAATCTACTGAGGTCAGGACGTTGAGCCCCAAAGTCCAAACACTTGTGGAGGCTTGTGGGCTGAGTGAAAACTTAAAAGAGACAAATCCAGACCTCCAACCAAACTGATAAATCATCTGTGCCCCAGTAAAAAAAAAAGAAAAAAAAAGAGAAATACTGAATACCTGTTACTAAATTTATACATGTTGGCAGATGGTGATGTGTATGAAAATAAACTGTATAAACATACAAAAATGCTTCAGAATCTGACATTCAAGACTTCCAGAGTCAGTCACTTGCAGTGCAACACGACAGATATGCTTTGGACAAAGAGGACTTCAGATGTTAGAAATGAAGAAAAGAGGTTCATCCATAATGAGCTACAATCTTCAGCTGGAGGACATGATGGACAAATCAGTTCAACATTCTATTGATTTGATTGTGACATCGCCGATTCAAGTCTCCCTCCTACTTACAACAGACTATATATATATATTTATATATATATATAAATAACACCCCTTCTCACTACAATATATATCAAAAGTTTTTAAGTTACATCCATACATCAACAGTGACCGCCATCAATAATTTTAGAACAATACAGAAAAAACTCATGGATTAATGCAACATAGAGAAAAAAAACCCTTATAATGTGACAACTTGGCATTAGCATTCTTACATTAACTATTGCATAACACAGAGCATGGCAGCAAACACACAAGCACAATGCAACAGGGAGGAAAGAGCAAGACATTTAGGACATCCATAAATAAAAACTCCCATCGATCGGTCACAGGCTGCTGCTGTTACCTGACATGGCCACATGGAGGCAGGAGTGGGCACAGTGTGCTCATTGTCTGGAGAAAAAAAAGGTGGCATGATATGGTTTCGTGATGAATGATGTCTGTGACGAAGGAGCATAAGGAAGACCCGCGAGAAGAACAGATCAGCATGCAGCAGAAGGATCGGACATGCTACGCTGGCAAAAAACTAAAGTCGACAGGATCGTCAGAGGGTAAAAGAAGAGGAATAACAGACACACCGAACCAGACCCGATGCCCTCTGACCCTCCCCGTCCACTCACAAACATGTTTGACCTAAAAATATAATCCACTAAAAATGGGTACCTATGAATTAAGGCAGGGTGGCTAGAATACTGCTCATCCCTCTTCAGATTTCCCCTAATTTCTCTCCTTCAGCTGATGTGTGTGAGTGTAAGGCTTTGTAAAACACCACTTCTACGTCTTCTTTTTGTTTTTTTACACCTTTCTCCTTTGGCTCCTAGCCTGCTGCTGTGTGGGTTACCTGTAAGGCAAAAGTGTGTCACATACAAACATACAGTAACAGGCAAAATTCATGCATACACTCGCGCACATGCACACACACGCACACCTAAAGGGCTAAGCTCGACAGCTGCCCCTTACTTGGCCAGACCACGTACTGTACATAAATGTTTTCAACAAACATTTACAAAGAAGCAAAAAGGACACGAAAGTGGAGGGACAGGCAAAAACGTGAGACTGAAAATGAGGACAAGGAATATAAAAAGGCCCGACTTGTTGAAACAGGACAGTTCCAGTAGTGCATTTAACAACGCACCTTCGAACATGGTTCCCCTTTTGTTCTTAGACTTTTTCAAGTAAGAGTTTAGGTAGGAACTGTGATGAGACGAAGACAGAGACCACGCTGAAACAAAAAAGATGTCACCCAAAATATGAAGATGAGGCGTCAGGGCTGTAATATCTAAAAGGTTGTCCACTCAGGTGTAGCCCAGAAAAATGCACATGGTGAACTCAGCATGGAGGTTGATGTGTGTGAACATGTTTGTATTTTGCTCTATAAATCCTTGTTTCTTGAGAGACAGATCTTGGTCGCACATCGTGGGATGTACTTGATGTTTCAGCCCACAAGATTCACATAATTTCAGAGTCTGCGTTTGTGTTCACACTGAGGTCTCCGGGCCTGGAGCGTAGTGGGCAAATCCCGCCCCTGAGAGTCGGAGCACATAGGGGCTGAGGGAGCGCAAGTCTGCCCCTCCCCCTTCCGCCAAGTGGGCCAGTAGTTTCTGGGGAAGGGGATCAGACCTGCGTAGCGACAGCATCTCCACAGCGCCAAAGTGGACGTGAGAGGACTCCGTGCTCGTGCCTTTGTAGGATCGACGAGAGGACAGTGGAGTTGACTCGGCCACACCATCCTGCGACAGCTCGTCCTGATCCTACGGAGAGATGGAGGATGCATCGTCACAGGAAAATCCAAAACACAAAGGTAGAAAATGAAATGAACTGATGCAGATCACAGAACATGTGAACGAGAAAAGATGTGAGACGGCTTGATGCATAAGACTGAACAGCACGGTTATATTCAGAGGGTTTAAAAGGCTTTTTTTATAAATCCAGATATTTATTTTTAATGATTATTGACACCATGTTATGGACTGCTGGATCAAATTTATTGAACAAACTGGACAAATAAAGTAAATAAAGTGTGGACATTGTACAGGACTTACTGATCAATGATGAAAAACCCTCTGAAAATTCCCATTGTGATTAATAGACATGTTAGATTAAGCATGCTTAGGAAATGAAGACAAAATTTACACTTGTTATTCCACCTTCCAACAGCAGATGTCGCCAGTATTCCTGGTACAAGATTACACTTCTCAGAGTAAATGGGTACACAGTATGTGGTTTCTCACCTGCCTCGGCAGCCTGGATTTATCCAGATCAGTTTTGTGTGGGATGTCAATAATGTATGAAGTAACCTACTATTGGTGGTACATGATAAAATAAGACCTCAGTTACTAACGAAATGTTAATGAAATCCGCATGAACCGCTAAAACCTGACAACCTTCTCCGACCCAGAACCTTCAATTTGAGCCCCTCACCCTTACTTTCACATCTATCTTAAGCTACAGTACAGGACAAAAAGCGATTCGCAACAAGCCTACCACTTGTTGGAGCCCACATGACAGGTGGCAATGGATTCTAAGTAGCCGGGGTCTAATACAGAGGATATAAGTTCTCATTTGGCTTGTACCCAGATCAAGATAACTCCCATCCCACATGCAGTGAGAAGCACAGCACGCTTTGGAACCAGCACTGCAGAGTTAATTGGAGATTGTGATTCCTGAAAGTAGGTTTGACGGAAGGAAATGTCTCGTGAAGACACACTTACAAAGTTCCCCGACCCCGGCCTATAAGCCATAGAATGACAGCATGCCCCATGCAGTGCAAAGCAGCAGGAAGCATCATGGCAGCAGCATTAAAAGAACCCGACTCCCCACAGTCAACGCCCTCTGTGTGCTGTTACCATGGTGACCCTAGCCCAACGAGGGGGTTGCACTCTAGGGTTTGCCGAGCGGGGTGCTGTGGCTGTATGACATCATGGAGTCATAGGTCCTAGCAGCTTTTCCTCCACTGTCTCCCTCACAGGTCCTATCAGGGTGGAGTGGGTCCCTCTCATTGCTTGCCCCTCCACCAGCAGTGCCAGGAGCCACAGAGCCCTCCAGGGCCCCCGCTCTCCTTACCTTCTGTGGATGACGTTAAAGGAAAGGTGATAATCTGGAACACATACTCAAATGCCAGTGTATTAGGTGCGCCTATCTGAAACTAGTGCAGTGTAATACAATAATCCTGCAATAATCCCACCTTCATGAAGGTTATATTGTTAGAAAAGTGCTGATTTAATTTAAGGTCCAGTGTGTAACATTTAGGATCTATTGGCAGAAATGGAAGATAATATCCATAGGTATGTTTTCTTTAGTGTATAATAAACCTGAATATAGAAATCCCTTTTGTTACCGTAGAATGAGTAGTGATTATCTACAGACGCCTTCTGTGGAGTCCGCCAAGTTCTATGGCCACCGTAGTTTCTCCTAAACACTTTACAGCCTTTTTTTACTCATTCCCATGTTGTCAAAACAATGTGAATCTGCAACTTCACTGCTAGATGCTGATAAATCTTAGACACTGGTCCACTGATCATATTTAGGTGTTTAGGTGTACCTGATAAACTGGCAGCTGAGTGTATTTCCAGCCTGTGTCTATAGATTAAGTTGAAACTGACTGTGGTTCACACCTGGCTCCTAAGTGAAGCTCAAAATTGTTTTCAAATGATCGCTTTTGATCGGATTTCACCCCTGTAAATACTGTGACCACTCCTGAACTGAAAAATTACATATTTTTACTTGTCCATGCAGCTACAGAATAGGATTGGTGCCACTTTTTGGTATCTTACTAAGGATATGGACCTCAAAACATTGTTCTGTTTGTTAGGCTTAAACCAAGAAATTGTGACACATTTTGCATAGCAGCTTTGTCATTCTCCTCACATTAAGAATTTGACATGGCAGGCTTTCAGAGCAGTGATGACACATTCAGTATACTACATATCTGTCACTCACATCCCTGACCAACTCTGAATTTGTCTTCAGATTAGATGCCACTGTGACGGCACTGGTGGACTGGGTTAAGCACAGTTGTATTTACCAGCGTTCAACTGTGATCTGATCACTAGGGACACACTTCAGAGCTAAGTCTGATGCATACTTTGTGAAATGAGGTTGTCAACCCCACTGCTGGGACTGCAAATCTGTGCTATAAATCTAATTTAGGTTATTTGATAGCTAATATATAGTCTAGAATGTTTTTGCTTTAAAAAAATTACTAAATTTCTAAAATTACTATTATAAATAAATAAATATTATAAATAATAAACATCAAACCGATGTTTTACAGTGAATAAATTCAGCAAATTAGCCTAATCTGTTTCTTACAAACAAACTGTGGTCTCACACATACCAAAATCATTTAAAACTACAAGACAATGTGAGAAACATGAAAAACATGACAAAACCCAATATAGTGCATGCAATTTAAATCAGTTAATGTAAAATTGGACACAAAACACATGAAACATGTAATTGAAACGTTGACTCCACAAATGAGAGGAAACTGTGTATAAGAGGAAAATATACAGTTCTATCCTGGCTCGCAAACCAAACACTGTGTCACTATTGTCATCAACAGTGCCCTAGTAGTTAGTTTCACATTAATCCAGGTGTTGAGACAATGATAAGTAGTTTACACTGGGACATGCCACCATGCATAAGGGCTTAAAAGAGAGTCACCTCCTCTTCCTGCTCCTCTCTTGTCTCTCTGGGCCAATCAGAAACTCATTCTGCTGGAGGACTGAGAAAGCATGAAGATGGTGGATGGCTCCACAGTAAGGCACGGGCGAGAGGACTGCAGTTACCCCAAAAGAGCAAGCGAGTGCAGAGGTCAGAGTCACAGTAGCAGTGTGGGGAAAACAAGAGAGAATAGGAGAGAGCAGACAGTAATGAAGAGGGAGGGGAATGAAATGAGAGGAAAAGGGAGAAAGAAACGATGGAAGATGGTGTGAATTGTGATCATGGTGGTCCATTAGGGTGAAAGCGAGAAGGGAGAAAAGAGAAGAAAGCACAGCAGGAAGAAATATGTTAGACCTTTCATTTATTTTTCTATTCATGGTGAAGCTTGCGCCACAGGATGGCGAGGCTAAGCCACAGGGAACAGGAAGTCATTCTAAAACATGCTGTTGCTCAAAGCTATTAGGGATCCTGATGCTCTTCCTGTATGATTAATAGAGTGGGATTGATTTACTGCCTACTCAAATGGTTTATTACTGTCAAAATATTAAGTATCAGCTAAGAGTTTAGAGATTTCTACTCTCTATATCAGGTCATTTCAGGTTGTGAACTGAAATGTACGGCTCTTTAAAATGGGAAAGCATTAATTAGTCATTGGTTAATGGTTTTAGCAAAGCATTGTGTTAATACCATCAGAGGTCACTCCTGGAAATAATCTAAAACCTAACTAAGGAGCAAGACAATTTAAGATCATACCTGTGCACGTTCGGTGGCTGTGGGACACATGGTCCTGCAGAGGACCTTTTTGATGACATCTGGCAGCAAGCTGACCGTAATAAGCAGGATGATGCTGAGCCAGGCCGGACCACTGGACAGCATCTGCATGAACACGTAGTACATCCTCTGGTAGTTCAGGAAGGGCCTGAGCAGCAACAGAAAAGACCGGAAAGGGTTTTTCAGAAACCTAATCCTAATCAACATAAAGGTTATAGATGCACGTAAAAACAAAGTATATTATACCAAATGATGCCTCCCCAGAGAAGAGAGAAAATAACGTAGAAAAGCAGTGACCCCCAGATGACAAAGTGATTGATCCATGTCCAGTGGTGTGTGTCCAAGGCAAGCTGAAACAAACGGAATATATACATAGTAAACACTCAAGCTGTCAATGAAGTCAATGACTTTGCCTTTAGGGTTTACTGTTGTGCAAACAAAGCAGCCAGTGCAGTCGATGTAACATGTTAGTTAGCATGTGTGCCTCAAGCTTGTCCACGCATACAATCAGGAACAGGTGCAATGATAATGAACTCATTTAAATGGAGGGTTTATGCAATACAATAGACGAGAGTGACCACTCCAACCCTCCCTCAACCCACCACTAAGCATTTCTGAAGATATGCCCACACACACCTTGAGCGTAACGGTGAACACCAGCACAGTAAAGACGAGAGTCCCGAAGGTCCAGTTCCCAAACATCTGGAAGGGAAGAGAAGGAAGACTAGGGTCAGTGGCCACGTCAATCACACACCCCCTATCACCCTGCATCCATGGATTAGTGAACACCCTATGGTTTTACAGTGCATGTATGTGCACAAAAAAGGTGAGAGGTGATCTGTTGAGAAAAAAAGAGTATTCTCTGGGACTTTCTTTTAAACATTGGGGCCAATAAACCAAAAATATTTTCACTTTTCACCACACTTTTCTAGCTGCTGAAATCCTAGAAAGGTTTGTGCAGACATCGGGAGTGAACAGATGGAATGAGAGTTGTGAGGGAGAGAATGAAGTAGGGAGGGGGGGTGGTGGGAGAGAGAGAGAGAGATCAAGACCAAGAAACAGGGGAGTTTATTAAACACAGCTGGTTGCTGGTGCCAACACACCTATTTAGCTAGAATTTGTTCATTCATTAATCCTTTCCTTTATGGATGAAGAAAATTGTGTGGATTTCCATTTTAAAACTTTTTTTTATTTTGTTGTTTGTTAAAAGTACACAGGATGAAAACAGTCCCTCCACCCGCTGGATGCTGGGGCAGTGAAATTAAAAACCAACCAACCCCAAGAACTGCTACCACAAATACATGAGCATATAAATACACACACACACCCACACACACACATACACAGATGCACAAACACATTAGACAGAACAACAAACAGATGTTGGATCTTAATTTATAATACATACTAGCAATACTCTATTTACTACCACAACGAAACACAAGGGTAATGTGGGGGAGCGTCTAAGGTTTCTACCATGTCAGTGGAGTTGTTAGGATCAGGTACTGTGCAGGATTCAGGGCTTTACAGAGATTAGGGGGATAATGGAGCACTAGAAAACTATACATTCAAATGAAAGTGCATGGATGATGTGAAGTGAGAAGGGATGAAACTGGATGAAACGGTCAAACTGAAAGCTTAAACGGTACGACAGGAACTAAAAAAGCGTGAAAGACAGAGAGAGCTGACAGGGAGGGAGACAGGCTTACCATCTGTGTGTTGGTGGTCATAAGCTGAGGAAGAAGAAGAAGAAGAAGAAGAAGAGGAAGAGGAAGAAGAAAAAGAAGAGGAGCAAAATAAAGAGAGGGGAAGCAGAGAGAAAGAGGGGGAAGAAAAGAGAAAGGAATCAGGACAAAGGGTAAAATGAGTTTCAGGATGTTTCAACTTAAAAAACAGGACCAAAGGCAATCAAAAACAGTTGACATGATACAAATTAACAATACAGAGAAAGATGCTATTGCGTTGTCGATATGAATGGAGATCCAATGTTGCTGACCTATAAGGGGGGCCTGGGACAGAAACCTTACTGTTACAGATCCCATCATAACAAAAACATGACCACAAAGTCAACACTTAACTCCTCTTTCATGAGAATCCAATGGAGATGGATGAGGTTTTGTAAAGAAAGCACTAACTTTGTGTCCATTATCCTCTTTTAATTTCCCTAAAGGACACCTAGTGCTGCTCTGTAACTGCTCTATTTCTACTCGTTTCACAAAATTACACATCTCACTGCCTCCATTGAGATAGAGACAGAGGCTCACCTGGCCATTGCTGGTGAAGGTGGTGTTGTCAAACAGGAAGTAGGCACCAAAGAAGAAGATAACAGCATCAAACACACCCAGGCATGTCCAATACAGAAAGACAGGCCATCGGAGGAGGGAGTTCTTCGCTATGTCCCTAAGGAAGAAAAAAACAACAGTTGAGCAAAAGCGACAAACAAAGTCATGGAAAAGATACAAATAATAAACATTTTTCTTCAACCTCACCTGTACAAGGAGGGGTCCCTCTTGAGTGTCTCCATGGTGACGTGCTGCTCAACTAGGCTGTAGAGGAGGATGGGGAGTGAGGTGAAGCTGATGTTGTATAACGTCAAATAGGCGGTGTCGTACAGAGGCTGCAGAGGGACAAAGACAATATAGACGACATTAGACATTTGGAACCGAAAGGCCATCTTAAAGTTTACCAGTGTAGGATTTAGTGGCATCTAGCAGTGTAATTGCAGATTGCAACTCCCTTGCGCCACCCTTCCTTTCCAAAGGAGAAACTATGAAACAAGTGAAAAACTCAAAAGGCTACAGCCAGTGTTTGGTGTATCTGTTCTGAAAAACATCCGCTTCCTCTATAGATAAAAACAGTTAATTTGAAGGTAATAAAAACATAACAATTCTTATTTTAGGTGAGTATACACTAATGAAAACATTTACCATTAGATCCTCCCAAATTAATTGATTGTTTTGGCCACTGGGGGGCAACAGAACACCCTGAATACATCACCATCAAATCATTTTATAAAGTTGTTCAAATCTGAACATAAAATAATTGCCTATTTACAAATATATCAGATACAGGGCAACATATGCGTTAATTCAGAGTTGTGGTTCTGTATATTACACAATTGTAAGTACAATATTCAGTCCTTCTAGTCTTCTTTTAGCTCTGTTTTGGTCTCTACCAACTCCTCAGAATAATATCTGGTCATTAAGCTGCTAGATGTTCTGCTTTTTACCACCTAGTTGCCGCACGGGAACCATGAAGTTGGTTTATTAGAGCTGTCTGCTCCAGCCAGAAGATTGATTGGAGTTTGTGGGCCGTAAAATCAAAACTATTTGCTAAAAGAGGTGAAAATGCTCAACTGAGGGGAACTGCAGGGTAGGGTGATGATTCTCTGTGGGTTTGTCTTTTAAAAGCAACACCTTTCATATTACACATAATCATCTGATTAATTTTTACCATTAAAATATGAATTAATGCATCTTTAAAAATAAACATTTAAGAGAGAAATACTATATGAAGCTAGTTAAATACATAATACTGTAAGGATATGTAAAGATGTACATACTATAGTATGTGCTAGCAGGCTTAAGCCCTATCACAGTATTAAGTACTTACCTGCTGGGAAAACCCACAGAAGAACTGATACAGGAACTGAGGGAAGATGAAGCATACATTCTGGAAAGAGTCGAGAGGAGAAGAAGAAAACAACAAATGGAGAAAGTGATAAGCTTATGACAAGTACACGTGAAGAGATTTGAAGAATCTAAAAATGCTACTATCTACACATTTCTGTTTATGCAGAGATTGTGTGCTATAAGCTCACTGAGTGGGCCGCAAAGAGCTGGCCTGCCAAAAAGAAAAAATGAATCAGTTGGCAGGGCAAGGCAATGCTTGCTGTGGAAGCCGCCCACACTGATCATCGTAGCCATGAATCCAGGAGAGAATGTTGCACCAGGGATTCATGAATCCGGTAATCTGTCAGAGTAGCTGCAAAATCTGGTTCTTTGTAACTCAGTGTTTCACCGGGAATTACGATAAAGTGATTAAAATGTGTGAGCCAGTGGAGTACATAAGGCACTCGTCTTGTACCTTGTAGAAGAAGTACTGAACAAGTTCAGCAATTCGGATGTAATAGTAGTGGCCATGTACAAGTAGCATCTTCTTCAGGTGTTTGAACTTCGGGATGGCATAGTCACTGTTCCTCGCTGCTTGTCGGCCTTCTTTACCCATGATACCTTAGGGGAAATAAAGCGGTTGGTTACATAAGATCTGATCAGGAAAGTAATACAAGAATTTAAGTGTAACACAAGAAAGAGTCAATTAATTTACAGTATATAAGTGAGCCAATACGGGCTTATTACAAATAAATTGTATATGTTGGCAGATAAGCACAAAGAAAGAGCATACATGTTTTATTGGCTTAATTTGTACCAATATGTAATCATTCTTAAAATCAAGTTTAATATTAAAAATATTGAATTTCAAGAGAGGTTTTCTAGTCAGAATTTGCTATTATATTTGCTGTTTACTGACAAATGTTAAACATCCTGTCTCAGTACATATCTGTCGCAAACTGATCACCAAATTTCAGGAATTCTTGCCAAAAATGTTTGTTTACCTGATTTGTTTCTGTAAAAAAAAAAACGTCATCAGGCTTGTTTTACTCTCAAATATCAATAAAAGTATGGGCTTTAAAAAACAACTTGGGCTCTAATAGAAACAGAATAATTCATAGATTAATGGATGAGCTCACCAATTCCCACATGAGCTTCCAAGATCATGCTGACATCGTTGGCTCCATCGCCGATGGCTAGAGTTATGGGGTGCTCCTTTGAAGCTTTAATTAGCTTCACAATCTAAAGAAACAAAAACACCAATTCCGTCACTACCACTGTTTGTCATTTAGGAATGTGCCTGGAGTATATTAAAGTAAAGTGAAGTGCAGTTCTCTCACCTGTGCTTTCTGCAGGGGTGCCATGCGACAGCAGAGCACAGCGCTACAGTTGCGACAGATCTCTAGAAAGATCTCTCTGTAGTTGCCTGTCCCGGCGCGCTCCTGGTTGGGCTTTAGAATGGCAGACAGAGTGGCCCCATCGATGATCAGACCGAAGTCGAGGCAGTCTACTGACAACCTGGAACAATATATCACAAACAGATCAACAGGGAGCTTTTCACATTAACCTATTATAGATCGGTCTGCAGTCTTGATATTCTACTGAAATAACCAGATTTTAAGTGCAAATATAATATGATCTATGTGATTACAGCAAGTGAAACGTGGACACAACATTTACCATGTGTAATGGTGAGCTGCACGATCAAATAATTGATTAGTTGATTGACAGAAAATGAATAAGCAACTATTTCAATGAATTGTTTCAAGGAAAAATGCCAAAAATCTGATGGTTCTGGCTTCTTAAATGTGATCGTCCGCTGCTTTCCCTTGACTTTAATTTCGGTAAACTGAATATCTTTAGGTTGTTGACTGCTGATTGAAACAAAACATTTGAGGATGTCACATTGTGATAGACATTTGCTGTTGTATAAACCAAACAGAAGCAGAAAATATCGAGCAGATGAATCACTAACGGAAATAATCAATAGTTGCAGCCCCAGTATACTGTAGATAAACACATGCATTATGTCATACCCAGACATAGAGCGTTGTCTGAGAACAGTTCTGTTCAGTTCGAACAGAACATCATGCAGACTCTGCTCCTCTGTGCGTTTCTTGGTCAGCTCCAGGATCTGGGTGCTGCGACGAAACAGCTTGCTGGCGTAGCAGGTAGCCGCTGCCGTCTCCATCTTGTCCCCTGTCAGGACCCAAACCTTCATCCCAGCCTTGTGCAGTGACTCAATGGTGTCTGCGGCTTTCTCCTGGAGCCTGCGCATCAATAAGTCAATAAGTGTCTCAGCCTCCAGTGGGGTAGGTTAAAGCATCCATCAAAAGTCCAATCAATCAATTATCAACTGGTGATAACTTATCAATGCATGACCACCCCCGGCCCTACCCATCACTAGTTTATCTGCTACCAAGTCAAACTGACAGGCAGCCAATCGATCAGTAAGGGAAAACTACCTTTGCGGGTCAGTACTGAAGTCTACCTTGTTGGAGCACAAGCACATCTAATATTTGAACACTGCAGAACATAAAATGGAAAAAAAGGAAACAAATGGCCCAGCAGTCTTAGTAGTAAGTCACCTATAAGAGCTCAGACTGAATCTTTTTTGCCCTCATGAGTCATTACAATACTTTGAGGACGACTTCATGACTCATTAATCTTCCTTTCAGTCCCCCTGCTGCTGCTGCACTGTTTTTAAATCTTTCCCTTCCTCCCTCTCCCTCCCTCTCTCTCTCTCTCTCTCTCCATGGGGACCAACCTGTCCTCTACTGCCGTAGCGCCCAAAAGCACAAAGTCCCTCTCAATGATGTCATAGGCCTGCGCCAGCCTCTGCTCCCTGTCCTGCAAGGCCAGCTTAGCTTCCGTCAGGTGATGACATGCCTCCTCGTATTCGGACTGCGTCAGCCTCCGGTAAGCGACACACAGAGTCCGCAGCCCCTCCTGTGTGACAGCGAAGAAGAGAGAGGTGAAATGTTAATGCAGCGTAACAAGCTGTAAACACAATACTGATATATTATCACCTTATAAAGTTTTTATAGTGAACGTGTGAGCAAACAGTTTTTTTTTTTTTTTTCACACATTTGCATTTAACTGGAGTTATGTTTCTGGCCAAACCGACAATGTTGAGTCCAATTTTCGTTCTCCTTTTAGATATATTTTGAGGGGAAGTATTTGGCTCTTTAGTTGCTGAGTGCTTCATTATGCTAACCAGCAAGTTGCTATCTTTGTCTGTCTGACATTTGGTACTGAGCCAAAACCAAAAGTTGTGGCCCGTAAAAGCAAAGCAATGAACTGAAAGATGAGCTCAGGGGAACTGCAGAGGTGGGTGATAATGATCAGCAGGTAAAACAATCAATCCTTTCCACATTACACATGAATCACTGATCCACTGTTATTATAAAAACATTGATTTCTATAAGAAGCTGTTGTTCAGAAATGTTTTATTGTAATTAAAAAAATCTAATTTAAAATAGCTGTAAAATTAACTCTATATGCACTCAATGTTTTGCTAAATTAAATTCTTGGCAGGAGCATTTAGGTAATCACAGGTCACAGGTTCAGTGACCCATCAATGAATCTGTTTTATGAACCTTGTGTTTATGAAATTATTTCAAATGAGATAGAAGCTGACGAGGATACACTGATATCCTGATCCCATTATATATCTGAAATGGACAAACTGAATACTTACGACAGCGTTCTGCTCCACCCGGGCTTTCACCTGCTCCACCTTCCCAGACACAACCCGAGGAAAAATGGACGAGTCTGCCCCCTTACAAAACAGCAGGTATTCTCCTGAGATCACACACACACACACACACACACACACACACACACACACACACACACACACACACACAAAGAAACATTTTAAACAAACTGTTAGAACAATCTAGGGTCTGATCATGGATTTATAAAATGTATTAACATAGCATTGATATCTGTTTCATGCTTCTGTGTACGATCTTACCTGAGCTTGACCTGACTATGACGCTCATTCTCCTCCTCACAGAGTCAAAGTTCAGTACGTGGAGCAGCTCAAACCTGAGGGAGAGACAGTCTTGGCGTAAAGGGGGTTGTCTTTGTTAACTTTCTAATTACTGCTCATATATTCATTCACCTTCTTTAGTGCTTTTTTCGTGCAAATGATGTAAAAATCTGTCCTTTTCAGACCAACTCCTTGCACAATGTCCCCTTTTTTAAAGCCTTTCTTTATAGTTGATATATTTTTAGTACCAACTCTATGTTCTGTTCATACTTCTCTGTTGAAGTCTGGTATGTAATTATCATGGACTCTAATGTGTTGATGTGGAAAAAAAGGTAATATCAAAAATAGAAAGCAAGGTCCCAGGTAATCAGGATTTTCAAGGATGCCTTATTCATCTGCAGTACAATGAGTATTGATGTTATTTTAGTAATTTCACACTATAATTTCTTGTAAATCACTTGCAAACAGTGCCTCTTGCAGTGTCATTACATCCACTTATAACTGCACGATCCCTGTTTCTGTTTCTGAGAACTGTAGAAAATCCTTAAATTTGTTAATATGCAAACTGTAATTCAAAGGAAGTGAACCACAAAACAGACATACAGAGATCTGTTTTAAGTACATTTTATACTGGTAGTTCGTGTAAATGGCCAAAAGATTCAGATAAACAGCAAAAAACAGTAAGTGTGAGAATACTCTAGAACCTTTTTAGCCTTCCCCATTCCCTCCTATCTGCTGGATGCACCCCCCTCCCCTCTCCAGCTCACTCGCTTACTTAAAATAGCTCACTATTGACAGGCCACTGCAGAGAGTGATGGAGAGAGAGGGTGGTTACAGGAACACTTCCTACAGGTCAAAACATTAGACAATTTCCCCCAAACCACTCTCTGATTGAATCGTGCTGCCTTTTATTGTGACAGATCAGTTGGATATGATTGAACAGTTCCTAAAAACAACAGTCTGCCCACTCTCTTGGGGTTTCAGGTTTTTGTAACCCGTGTTGAAAATGTGAAACACAATCCAAGAGCCGTTTCTCTCCAGGCAGCTGATGTGTGACCACAGCTCCATCAACTGAATTACTCCCCGTTTTATCTTTTAGTGTAACCACAACAGACTCTTAACAGACCAACCTTTCAATCTCATCATCTTTGTTGAGGATCTCCATATAGTTGTCTTTCAGTCTCAGATAGGTGTAACCCAGCCTGGCAACACAGACAGAGAGAAAGGATTAATTTAAGTCTGACAGAAAGTATTAAAATACACTATGCAGTATTACTCATGTGGAAAGGCTAAAGGTGTTTGTGACGCATTTAGTGTAACCTGAGCCCAGCTCACACACACTTTCTACCGTACTTCAAATCTGTGAAAGCAATACGTGAAAGCAACCCCCTGTGATCAGGCACGTTGGACCGAGTGTCTTACATGTGTCTAAGGCCACGTTCAGAGCGAAAATAGCACAAAAACTTATTGCTCAGTGTTGTTGTGGGCAAGATCAAATAAAATCCAGTCCAGTTTGAATACTACAGCCCTGAATTCTTCAGCTTATGTAATGCCAAAACACAACAAAACAGGTTATGATGCTGTGAGACAGCATTTTACCATTCATCACCAGCGTTTTGGTTCGACATTTTTGTGGCCTGTTTTTTGGCAGGACCTGTTTTGTGACGGGACCCCACTCTGCCAACATAATAGCTGGCACAGCAGCAGTAATGTTGGATAATGGGAGCTGCAGTCTTCATTGTTAAACAACCACCATTGCCAATGAAAATCTATCTGATATCTGATCTGTTCACAGATGAGGTAATGTATTAACATTTTATTCCTGTTACATTCGCCAACTTCGTTCCTCTCTGATGTATCTTGTGCTTCCCCAGAAGTCTTTTCTTTTTTTATACCTGTATAAAATTATTTTAAATATAACATAGGTCTAGTTGTTTTTAGACATTTTAATGCAGAAATGTTACACTGAATATCTTTAACTTGGTCCCCTAAAATTCAGGGCACCGAAGGGCTACAGTTCTTACCCCACTGTGGATGTAAACATACTAAAATTGAAGCTGAACGTCAGAGCTTTTTCTGTTTCAAATCCAATCTGCCCAAGTGCAACGCCAACAAAACAAAAAGAGACAGTGTCCTGTTCCCCCTGAAGGACTGCAAAGTAATTTTGCAAATTGTGTGTGTTTTTTGAGTGCTTACCTTTTCATTCCCTCCACCAAAGCCACCTCATCCGGTGAGGAGGAGATGTAGAAGGAGGTGGGCCGGCCCTGGTGGATGCCCCTCTTGATGCCATCCACCGTCTCCTCCTCCTTTACCTGCACCGTGTGACACAGACACAGTGCCCGGAAAAACAGATCCTCGTGTTCCTACAGACAAAAACAGTTAGGTTCATTTCAAAGGTGCAACACTGAAATGAAATACAGATGTTCATAATTTCTTTCTTTCTGGGTGTTTATAATGGATTCTTAATCATTTTATGGACATGTTTGATGCATTAAAACACTGCTGCTCTATTTTGGATTTCCCAGAATTACAAAGCTATAAAGTGGCATATATAAGTTTTCTGCAACTGCAAGGTTTTGGCAGGGAGTGATCTTCTTTCTCTCTCTGGTCATTTGTGGTGGCTACTGCTGTTCATGCTGACTGCACAATTTTTCTTCTATTAAATCTAAACAAATCACTGTTGCCACTGCCAGAAATACAAGACTCATCACTTTTCTGTGTACCAGAGGACTTTTTCCCATGTAAGACACAGCAAACACTTAGGTGTTTTCGTGAACTGAACACAAGCTGTACCCCTGCTGCGTTTATCAGCAATGAAAATGAGCAAAACAGACATTTGTTTATATCAAAATGTCAGAGATAATTACTTTAATAGTCCTCCTGCCTGACAACGTGACATGTTAATCTTCAAGTGTGGCACACTAGTTTTCTTTGCTCTCCTCTCCATCCCTATTTGGTTGCAGAGTTAGTACAGCCAAGAGTCTATTCAGGCTGGATTTAGAAGCCTGTTTACTTTGTCAAACACACATACTTACTCTCCTGTATCCTCCAGGTGAGGAATCAATCATGTCTATACTGGAGGCAGCGCTGAGGATTTGGCCGTTGCAGATGGCATGTGGGATGTAGACGTTCCCATCGACACAGCATTCAATAAACTCCATGTTGTTTTCAGTCAGAGTGCCCGTCTTATCAGTAAACACATACTCCACCTGGGAGGGAAGGAAGAAAAGGATATGGTAAGGGAACGTCTGCAAGTAGTTTCAATGCAGATGCTATATGTATGAGTGTGTGTGTGTGTGTGTGTGTGTGTGTGTGTGTGTATGTGTGTATGTATACCTGTCCCAGCTCTTCATTCAGGTCGGAGGTGTTGACCTGAGCTCCCTCTCCCAGCTCTTCGTCAAACATTTCCTCATCCCAGGTGATGAAGTAAGAGCCCAGGAATTTCTGCATCTCCACCGTCACGTACATAGACACGGGGATGATGTAATTAAATAAGACCATGAAGGCCAGGAAGTCTGTGAATGCTCGGATCACCTAAAGCAGTGGAGGAAGCAGGACAAAAGACGTAAGGTTTTGGAGAAATTAGATTTGAGACTGGGCGTCAAGACTGTGTTTTTAAGTTAGAAGTTGGTGAACAGACCACATGGCGCTGACGCTCATTCTCAGTCCTGTGGTTGTACCAGGGCTCGTCTCGATCGGGAGACCACTGCCAAGCGTATTTCAGAACAGTGTTGATCACTGCTTTACTGATCAAGATGCACAGATACACTATCAGGAAGGCATTCATCGACCTGCAGAGAGACAGAGTAAAGGTCAAGGAAGAAGAAACATACCAATCCTCTAAAAACTATTCTTGATGGACTATGAATCTAAAGCAGGGAAAGCATTTGGGATGTTAATCATACTTTTCTACAGCGGAGCGCTTCTGAGATTTAGACTGGTAATTAAGTGCCATCTTGGTCTCCATACCAGTGTAGACTGCAACAGCTGAGGGGAGAGAAAACTCAGAGTTTTCAAGACAATAATGCCATCGGTCTTTCCTCTAACGTTTCTCAAACATGACAACAGAGACAAGAAACAGAGTGAATCACAGTGTTACTACCATAAATACGTTGTGTGTTCTTCAGTGTGGCTCCTCTAAGGAGCATGTTCTCAGCCCCAAGTGGTCTGCAAGAATGAAACAGAATCCTTGGCTGTCTTTATTTCAGGAACAGACATTTGATTCATTGAGCAAAGGAGTCGGCTTTGCCAGTAAAAAGCATACCCCAAAACTAAAAGTATCTGCCTACAAAAGAAAGTGCACACACCTTGCCACAGGCTCTTCTTTGTCCTTGTAAATATTGATGCGTCCCACAAATCTGCAAAATAAATCAAAGCAAAATAAAATCAAAAAAAGCAACAAGGGCATATCTGCTTCTAAGAGGTTGTAGCTGATAATATGTGTGCAGAGATGCGTCAGTGACTCACTTGTAGAGGTCAGGCTGCGGTTGTTCACATTCAATAGTGGCATGTAGCGAATCCACCTCCTGCTCCGTTCTAAAGGCCATCGTATCTGGTACAGCATAATAGGTCTGACACGGAAAGGTGAAGGAAGGGGGAAGAAGAAGAAGCAGACAACAGAGGAAAATGTCACCCACAGCCACTAATGAGAGCAGGGTTCATTTGACTCCTCAGCCTGGCTTCCAGCAGATTTTCTAAATGAGAGAGAGAGCTGGGGAGGTGAGCTGTTATAGACTGCTCCCCAGGTCAGCAGAAGACAGCATGCTGGGATGGTGAGCACATCGGGGGGTCACCCCCAGGGCATGTATGAGGAGGGTGGGTGGAGTACTCTACGCTACTCTGTGGGATATATATGTGTGTGCGTGTGTGTGTGTATGCTCAACCATGCGTATCCTCGTATGAGTGACATCAATGAACATCAGAGGAGAAGTGAGAATGTGAAATGTTTTGCGTGACCATGTGTCACCTACGCTATTATGCATTTGTGTGTCTGTGTTCATGTGTATGACTTCAACAACCAATTATTTTCATTACTGATTAATATTCTAACTAGTTTATCAATTAATCTTTGTCAGAAAATGCCGGAAAATACTGAAAAGGGCATCACAGTTTACTTAAGCCTTAAGTGACATCTTCACATTGCTCGTCTCGTCTGAATAATTCAAAGATATTCAGTTCACATATGATGAAGAAAAGTTCTCACATTTGAGAGGCTGGAACTTAAAAAGGGACCTGAATGATTACTTAATCTGTAACAATAAGTTGAGTAATTGATTAGGTGATCGACAGAAAATTACTCTGCACCTCTTTTCATAACTGATTAATCATTTAAGTAATTTTCTTTGCAAAAACGCCAAGAAAATCAGTGATTCTAGCTTCTCAAATGTGAATATTATATTTGTTGTTTGTAAAAAAAATTTAAGGACCAAACAACTAACGGAGAAAATACTCCAGATTTATCAATAATGAAAACATTTCTTAGTGGCAGCTCTAAATTAATCATCCAAACTGTTGCGATTAATTATCTGTATTGATGAAGTCAATATGATACAAATGTCTGCTATGTGGAAACTGTTTAAAAACTGTAACAAACAAAGCCAAAAATATCCAGTTTATAAATATATATAGATAATTAAATGTTGTGAAGCTTTTAAATGTATCTGATTTTAAGCTTTAAAGACCAAGTGAATCATGAGGCTTTTTCTGTTCTGGGATCAACGATGGTAAATTTAAAGTTAAAAATATATCAAATAAAAATCATGCACTAGTTCTGGCACCTTGTGACTAGACTCCCCATCCAGGCTGGCAGTGGTGACATAGCAGGTGCCATCATGGCGGCTGGAAGAGAGGAGGATGAGGTCACATGGGAAAGTCTCGTCCTCCCTCACCACGACGATGTCCCCCACCTGACAGAGCGGGACAGACACATCACACACCCTGTAATGGCTTACACATCAATAATAAATGAGAGGTATTTTGACGGGAGGTTTGCGTAAACACAGAGAATAGAAGACAAAGAGACAGACCTGCGGGTAATCATCTGCTCAGCCTTTACTATTCCTTTTTTTTTCAAAGGATTGAGAAGTTGCATAACGGATTATGCGAGCAGAGCAGCTTAAGCTCTGATAAATCCCATCTCCACGGTGACCATACACATGACACACGCTCTCTGATTTTGCATGATTAATATATTCATCATTATTCCTGCTCCCAATTCACACTCTAATCCTCTCTGTTTGATCTACAGTAGTGAGAAACCTTGGTACAGAAAACGCCGGAAGACACGAGAGAGAGAGAGAGAGACAGAGAGAGGGAGAGGGAAAGGGAGAGAGAGAGATAGACTAAAAGAAAGAAAGAAATGACTAGGAGAGAGAAGGATGGAGACGGTGACAGACAAATGGAACAGAATAAGACAAAATGATCATTTCTGTGCACCTCGATGTCAAATGTCTTTCTCGACCAATGAAAATTCAGTGAGAAGTACTGCTATGGCAACACTAACTATGAGACTCTGTAACCTTTAAGGCCGGGCAGCTGCATTGAAGCCTGTTTCTAATCTGACCCTCAACATCTCACACAGTCTCTGCACACTTGACAGGAGCAGCAGACGCAGCAGAAATTAGATGTACCTGCACGTACATCTACATAGGAGGTGCTGAGCTAGACACTCAACAAACCCCATAAAAAGACCAAAACCAACAATGAATTGACCCTACTGACAAGTGTTGTCTGTTCAACCTAAGCCAGATGCGGATTATTGTTCTGTGTTACGCAGCTCCACTGTTGTCCAAAAACTATTCAAAATATATAAATGAGCCACACAGCCTCAGTGGATGACATGTCCATTCATTACAATGACCATGGGCACTGTAGTTTATTTTGAGTCGATCCCACATACACTGCCCTGCTTTAGTAAACGCTAAAAATAGTACCTAACAAATGGACTATTTATTGCAAATTTTTCTAAAAACAACAGTGCCGAGCTGTTTTTTTGAGATCATTACAACTTTCGAAAAAAGCAAAGTATATATTCATGACGCATTTTTAAAGATTTACATCTTCAGTAGGGATGAATTGGTTTGGAATAGACCACACTGAGCTTCACAATGGCTCTTTAGAAACCTACAGGTGATGTCACAGAGACTGCATCCATTTTCAGTTCAGTGTATGGTAGAACCGCAATTTGAATTCAACATGGGAAAGGCAGACTCCATCTGTTTTTTAAAAACCTCTTTACAGAAAGGCAATTACAGAATGCAAATAACATGTTCTGGCCAAAAAATGACCGGCCATAAATTGTTTCAAACATGGGTTTTGATACAATAGAAGTCTGATGGATTATAAGGCTATTTCAAGAATTAGACTGAGCCACATACCAAACAGTGATGCGCTGTTGCATCAGAATGACATAAGAGAACAACAATGGATGATGACAGGAATATCCTAACTTGTGAAATACATCAGTGCTGTTCATTTTCCAGGGGACTCTCGCATGGTGCACCAGGGGACACTATAATTGTTCCTCTACTACAGTTTCAGGGGCAATTAATTGGTGGGAAAGACAAGAGAGAGGAAGAGAGGAAGAAAAAAAAGTTAGAGAGGACTGCAGAGAGAAAGTGAAGGGGGGGGGCAGTGTGAGAGACGGGTACAGAAAAAGTGAGCTATGCAGCAGTACGGTAGTGTTGCTTTGTGGCCTCAGGTGCTATACTGCTCTAATGAGGCCATTCTTACCCGTAGCTTGTGACTCTGTGTCCTCACCACCTTCCCCTGCTGCACCACGTCCACCGGACACTCGTTTATAGAGCAGTCAGCCTTGTGTCTGAGCCAGTCTTCATAGCCCTGAGAGAGATGCAGCAAGAGAGGAAGACAGAACAAGATTGTAAGGGAAAAGGAAGAGAAAGCCAATGTGTTTGTTGGCGGGGGGGGGCAGAGAATATGGATTATTGTGCCGAGAGACTCAGGGCCAGAGTATAGTATGAGATCAAGAGAGACGGGGGGGGGGGGGGAGAGGTGAAAGTCATACACTGTAATTAATTAGCATTGTGCTCCCTGAGCTTAGTGACCTGTTTCCTGGATTTCTAGCCAACATGTCATGTTTTAGATTTATGTCCCAGTAAAGCTCAGGCTTCCTTAGCCAGAACAGCTCCATCTATCACTGATAGTACCCCATCCCTCAGTACCGGGACGCCGCAGAGAGGATGCATCTCCCAGGGGCATGGGATCCTCAGCTAGAGTGATTAACAGAGGAGACCATTCATTATCATATTTCTCACATCACCAGACATATTCAATGGCATGTCCTTTCGCTGAGAGAGGAATGTGTATATACAGATAATAGAGCGGCCGATTGGTAGAGAGAGTGTGTGTATTTGAGGCCGGGAGTTGGTGTGTCTGTGTGTGTGTGGGGGGGGGGGGGGATTTTTGCGAGCAATATTTCCCGGAAATGTGAGCATGTTTGTGTGTGTCCTACCTGTTTTATGGCGGTGACAGTGATAACAAAGAAGAGGGGCAGGCCGCTGGTGACTGGGCTGGTGGGAGTGTCGATGATAAGCTGCAAGGGAGAGGAACAGTGGGAAGAAGATGCGGGGGGAGGGAGGATGGAAGAGGTACAACAGAAAGGAGAGGGGAGAGGATGCCAAGGAAGTGCAGAAGGGAAAATGCTTCTGTAATAAGGAATCAAGCACCAGTCTAGCAAAGTTCAAAGCATCCAAGTAATAAAATCTTGTTTGACTTCCTCTATCTGCACCTACAGGATCTATCCATTCTGAGATTATGTGTTTTAATGTTTTCTGTTTCCTATATTCTTTAGATATAGTACATGTGCAGATGTAGAGACTAATAACAGTAAAGTAGGACCTTTTCAGTTGACAAAGAGTACAAACATTGTTGCTGTATAACATGCCATGTTTGTCCTATTAAGAGGGTGTAGTATTTCACATGCTACTGATAAAACATACAGCACACAAAATACCCAGGCTGTGGCAATGTTGCATTCTGGCTGCTGGTAAAGATACTGCAGCTTCTTTAATGATGAGTTTGTCCTTGCAATGTTGTTCAGCATTTAGTGCCACATAGTGACTCAAGGAAAAAGCTGTTTCTTTTTGATTTCAGGATAATGTGATGTTAGAAAAGTATGGTAATCCTCATCCAGGTAACGTCAGGCACAGGCGCAAGATTTAACTCTTAATCTTGTATAACTGCTCTTATTTTGAAGATCAGGTAACAATGAGGGCAGGGTCTAAACTGTCATCAGCAATCGTTTGAATGGGTAGTGCACACGATTGCTTTAAGAGACAGCACCTTTTTGTAAGCAACCATGAGTTTATATAAGGCTATGAGGATCAAAAAGTGTATGAAAATGCAAAAATGTGCATCTCAACTATGAAATAGATTAAATGAGGTTGCATGTGCAGCTCATATGGAATCAGTGGAAGCAACAAAACTCCAAAAATATTTTCCATTTATTTAAATTCTTTGAGAAACTATAAGAAAAGTTAGTCAACAACTATGAAATGATGTTTGTAACAGACATTGTTTTTACCAGATCCAATAGCAACTCACACTCTGCACCAGCTAACACTGAATAATCCTTTGTGTCTAAGGACTTGTTACTTTGACAACAGTGCCACAAATAAATAAAATACATTTTAAACAAGCTTCAAAATACTACTTAGTTACCTATGTATGAGAGAAACATCTCCCGCTGCTCTGAAAATATCTTGATGCAAAGTCATGCACTTTAATTAAAACTAGGCCAGGTTAGGAATTAAAAAAATTAAAGCACAAACTGGACCCAGAAATGCAATGCTTGTTAGTTTGTTACCAGTAGCTCTTTGTGAGATTTTGTTCAAACAAGCTGGGAGGGTGTGTCCTTTGAGCTTCAGTGTATCTTCAGATTAAACAAAAACAGGTGGAAAAATTACCACTGCTTATGGTTTTCATAAAAATCTCACCTGGACCAGAAATATGACCAAGAAGTAGAAGTTAGCGATTCTTCGGAACTGCTCAAACAAATTCTTGGGAATGAAGTTCCAGAAGGTATACTGTGGGACAGAGAGACAGCAGCGGGATTATTATCACAAACATAGAAACAGAAAGGGGAAACAATGGGACCATCATCCAGTACTCCTGGCAAGAGAAATGGTGACACGGAGCTTGACAAACACAAGAAAAGTGAAATGTGTCATCCTTAAAAACGTGTCCACAAAAGAGATTACACGGTTGTTGAAATATGAAACAAAAGAATAGCGTGGTGATAAACAGTGTTATGGCTGTGACTCATGGGGCTGTGGCTCGCTCACCTTGGAGGAGACGATGCGGTTGTCGGGGTAACGCTGAGGGATGTAGGCCTCAGCTCCCGGAGGGGGTTCTTTATGCCCGATGTACACCGTCCGACTGTCCACCCAAATCTCCTCCCCCACACACTGACAAAGAGAGTGAGATATAAAGATTTATAGATTGCAAAAGAGGTACAGAGAAAAAATGTGGGTTAAAATCACACTGTTAAAATGTCTCATAAGCTACTTACTATTATTAGGCTTATATTATCATGAACACATTGATTCAGTTAAATATCACACTTTGTCATCCATCCTTACTAACACCTCACGATCATGCCAAAGTCTCATTTCTAAAGTCATTTAACAAGCAAAAATGCCAAAGATTCACTATTTTTGGCTGCTGAAGTCTGTTTATTTGCTGTTTTATATCATTATAAATTAAATATCTTGGGAATGTTGGTCAGACAAAACAAGCAATTTGAAGACGTCACAATTGGAAACTGAGATGGACGTTTGTTATTTTTTGTGACGATAAAGTAATTAGATTACGATTAATTAAAAGCATATGCACAGATTATTTTAATAATGAAATAAGTTTGCCTGACTGTCATGGGTTAAACATAATGTTACACAGGACTGTCACAGGGCTTCGGTCACTTCCTTTAACAAACAACCTGACAGGCCGGCTAAAGGATGAGAGTGTGTTTGTTGACGTGTGTGGGTGGGATCTGCTCTGAGTCACACAAGTGTGAATTTGTCATTTATCTTTTCACTTCTTTCTGCAGGACCTCTCTGCAGTCTGCACTCTGCTCCATCCCTGGCACATTGTCAAAGAAATTACATACACCATGTGCTTCACACAAAAAAAAGACAGAGAATCTACTGGGATAGAATTCCATAATTCATTTTTACAAAATCTAAATAAATAAAACACACTTGATAACAAGAGTAAGATAAGATAAAAATAATACCATAATTAATGTAAAGATGGAGAATAAAACCCACTGAGTAATAATAATTAGGGCTGTATTAGGAAGCATATGTCGATATGATACACATCACAATACAGGGTTTAAGATTCAATATGTTGCGATATATTGTGATTTTATTCAAATCAAGTTTTAGGAAAACTGTAGTAGTACTGTAGTATTAGTACTAACTATCGTATAAAGAACACACCACCATATTAATAAAATCTGAGTAAATAATACTCAAAACAAAACAAAAAAACACATTTTCAACTTGAACAGTGGAATCTGCATTTGTATTTATCACAGTTCCTCTAACATCCAACATCACAGTCCTCAATTTACATTTACCACACTGCTATCTAGCGGTTGTGGGATTAAAGACAAAAATTGATTTCTTTGTGTTTTTAAGAATCAATACAATAACACCAAACAAAAAATTGCAATATAAAATATTGCAATATTTTCTTACAACCCTAATATTAACGAGAATACATTTTAAAAATGGAGTAAAAAAATCAATTGAAAAAAGAAAAAAAAGAAGTGCTGCAGTGCATAAGTGTGATTACTCTTTTTCTTCTACACAACACTCATTCCTTTGGTTTTACTTCAACAGTCCAATGTCTTGATACGAAATAATGAAAGCACATTTGATTGTGTCGCTGCAAACCTTCATCTCAGTTCATCTCTCATCTATATTACACCTAAGTAGCTCCCCGGGGACTAACACAGTGCATTCTGGGAGTTTAGCACAGTACATATTTTTCCAAGGTGTCCTTCATTACGCACTATTGTGGGATGAGAGCTCTCCAAGAAAAAAAATGGAGTCAAGAGATCACAGCATTCAGCTGTTTGTTTCTATCTAGATTCCTACATGGCTCCTAATGCTTTGGCCTGAGTGGGCAGTGGGTGAGCATAGCCTTTGGCAATGCAGCCTGCCTGACACAGCTCAAAGCAGAAGTGTTGACCATTAGCAGAAAAGTTCTGGAACAAGCACTTCAGTGGAAGCAGCGCTTCACTGCTTAAAATGTCCTCAACATTTTGGCAGAGATGCAGCTCATCACTGCCAATGACCAAATCTTTTAATGTTCATCTGTCTTCTCAGTAACCTTGTGGATTCAAGTCCATAAGTTTTAGAAAGTTTGAACTGCAGTACTTCTATAAACTTATTTACCCCATTAAGTTTGGACACAAGATCAAATGGAGGCTAATGTAACGTTTCCTAGTGAAACCTGCAATTAAAAATCTGTCAGAATAGCAAATGGCAGGAGAGAAAAGCACAAAGTCACGGATCTAAACTTATCCACAGCGATCAACAGGCGCTTGACAGTGGGATGAAAATAGACATGGAGCCAACAGTGTCAGCCGGCTTGAGACCCCTCCAAAACATTACGGGGGCAACATGACCCACAGAGATACAGTGAATGGAAAGAGAGAGAGAGAGATGGAAAGTGAAGCGGAAAAAGAGTAAGCAGATTGAAGTGGAGCAAGCAGCAGGAGACTGAGATGAACAAAAGAATGAAATGACAACATAAAGAACGACTGAAACAGCAAAAATGGCAACAAGAAGAGAGGAAAACAGACAGAGAGAGGTTGGGGGCTGATGCCAAGTTCAGAAAATAGAAGCTGCAGTTGCTGACATGTTGACCAGATGATGTAGTACTTGGGAGTTTTTTTAGTAAAGGGAATGTAATTGACCAAAGCAAACACACACAATCTGTCTTAGGCCTACTGTGTCACAGTCACTGCTCTTAAAACAACACTCTCTGGGTTGTTCCTCAAACATGGTTTAAATAATCCAGCTAAATAAAACTATTCTCTTAATACTCATCTAGCTTCTCCATGTCTTTAATCATTTGGTGTGATAATTATACAAACAGATCTTGATCATTTGTTAGAATTATATACATAAAATCAGAAATACGATCATCTTTCTACTCGCTCCTCTGATGATTTTACACATTTGACAAGTTTGTTCACAAGTGATATATTACAGTGGAACAGTTTGAATGTATTTTTATATCATGTGATTTTTCCTACATTCATTATATTGTGATTTATATAAATACAAAAGAACATCCTAGTTAGGACTACATGCAACAATTATTTTAATAATAAATTAATCTGTCAGTTACTTTATTAATAGTTTAGTCTATAAAATGTCAAAAAATGCTCGTTAGAAGTCCAAGGTGACATCTTGTTACAGTCCAAAATCAAATATATTCAATTTACAATAATAACGGAGAGGCAAATCATGACATACAGGAAGCTGGAACCAGACAAAAATGGTTGCAGATTAATTTTCTGTTGAGCCACAAACTGATAAAACAACTATTCATTCAGCACCGGTCTATTAATATCACGATAACGATTTCAAGCATATCACCCAGCGCTGTCTATACAGCATATCCACGACATTCCACTTCTACTCAATCATTTTCCACCTAAATCCACAATTCACTGATTCAATCATTCATCCCTCATATTTCTATCTGCGCTGGTTTCTCCCTTTGTTCCCTCCATCTCCTGGCAGTGTATGTCACACTCTGACAGCGTGACTGTGGGAGAGGGATGGAGAAAGACACAGAGAGATTGCATTGTGGTTTGTAGTTATCTGATCATTAATCCTCACTGATCCGTATCAACCCCCAGCCCACTGTTCCCTCTTCACTCTACTGCTCCATCAGACAAAGTGGCTGGCTGGTTGGTTGCAGGACATGGAGGCTTTGTCTATATTAACACTGAAACAGCCTCCTAGCAGAGAGGCTGCTCTTACATCACCATCAATCATCAACAATGACAAGATGGATTTGATAACAGCAAACATCCCACCACTGCAGCTTCTCCTTTGATGAATTCTAACTGTACAGTGACTGTGCACTTTCTTGGGCTGATGGTTTTGAACTGTTTAAACTCTGGATTCAAAATCAAAGAACAGAAGCAGGTCTGTTATTTTTTAAGGTTTAAAGTGGTGCTTTTAAAAGGTCCACACAGGCTTTATACCATAGCATATTTTAAAGGACCTCTAACCCTGGCAGTGCCATGATCTACCCGTGCTGCCACCATGATGTAGCCACTTTCTACCACAGTGGTGTAATAAAAGGCACACACCATTAACTGGCCTGATTAAATAGTAGTGTCTCACCCCTCCCTCCTCCACTGTCCCGCCATGCTGCACTGCAGAAGCACACGGCATGTTGAGCAGGTATCCCTCATTAACTCGCAGATCAAATTCCTTTGACTGAGCTCTTCCTTAATTAACTACTTATATTAACTGGAGAGAGGATGTAGAACCATATAAACATGACCACACAACACCCATATGCAGGATTTGATAGATTTGCCTAAAGAACATCAATGTTAATGTTACGTGAATGTTACTAGAAATTACTGATGTTGTTTCCTTAAAATAAAAAGTGAATACATTAAAGTTTCTGAGTAAGTTAGAGACACAGTGCTGGCTGTAGCATCTCACTGTAAGTAAAAACTCAGCCTAGAGGTGCACATTTATACAACACTTCATTAAAATGGGTTTAACCACACAAAGTAGTTTTAAATAAAAATATTTTTAGGGTTTAGGGTCTTTTAAGGTTTGCAGGGTATAAATCACCTACATTTAGCAGTTAAAATCAATAAAATCAAAATCAACAAACACTGATCAACTGTCAGCGTTTCTGTTACACTACATTCAAATGAGAGAGCACAGCTGCTAAGAAAATCTTTCCTGGATAAATTTGGGGTAATAATATGAAATTATTTCAATATTCTCATTAATAGAAGCTTTGAGGCTGGTTGTAGCATTGAGCAAAGATAAAAGGAGCACTGAGACCTTGATCAGCTGAAAAGGAAAGAGGCTACCTGTTCAACATGCACTCGAGTGCTATTCATTTGCCATTAATCACCATAGCAACACTGTATGCAGCAACAGACAGCGATGCTACGTCTGCAAGTTCATAATGCAAAGAAACCACACAGATGCTTCATTATGTATAGACTGAAGATCAAATGTGCGGGATTTTCTCATTAATTTAACGCTGTGAAACTGGATCTGACAAGAGATTCTAATGGGAAGTATTAAACTTCCAGACAATATCCTCAAGATCTTCTTCGTGCTTTTGTTTGGTTCAACTAGGACTTCTTCGACTGTATTCTCTGTGGACAATCCTTTTTTTTTGGAACAAAGCAGAACAAAAGAACAACAGAAACAGCAGTGAGGAAGAAACTAACAAAAGGAGAGGGACCAGCTCAAAGGGAAAGGACGTGCCATCCACTGTTAAAATTATTTATTACACAAAAATATTTGGGGGAAATCTGCTACACATGTGCAGAAGTGCACGTAGCAATATTTCTTGTCAGAAAATTAATAAATAAATAAATAAAAAGTGACCTTCAGCCTGCACGTACTCTCAACCACTGACACTGATGACAGAAACCACCAGACCCCTGATGACGCAAATAACTACACACCTACAACAAAATCAAAGAATATGAGAAGACTGCTTTAAAATGACAAAGTGTGTATTCTGTTGTTGCCCCAGCTTCCTCTCCCACTTGACTTGCTGCGATCCAACTGTTACATAAGTCTTTAATCCAGCTGTGCTACTTCTCCTCTCCCCTCCCTCTTTTCTCTCCTTTTCTCCCACCACCATAATCTGAATCCTAAAAAAAACAAAAAAAACCCTCTTTTTCATTTTGTCTGATTTAACACAGACAACATCCTAATACAGGCTTGAAACTGTGTCTCATAATGAAACCTCTGTCTCCGGGGCACGCTGTGGGGGACAAAATAGTTCTTATGAGCCAGCACGCCAATGCATTGCTGTTTTCTCTGATATACACACACACACACAGGCCAGCAGGCAAAAGCTTTGCCCAAACACAAATCCTGTGTGTTTTTGTCACCTACAGCCTCTGTCTCTCCGCCAGGGCCCCATCTCCGAGGGGGGGCAGCGGACAGGAATAGACTGCCCTTAACTGTTTGTAGCGGTGAGAGCTAATGTGGCAAACAGTGATCTAGCAGGTTGTGTTCTGCCTTTCAACGCCAGCCAGGGGACTCAAAGAGAGCTGTAAAGTTGCTAGAACCCTTTCTAAAGCCCTTCAGCTCTCTGGGACCTGCTGGCACCCTTTTGATCAAAGGGAGGCCTTTCTCTTTTATCTGCAGAGGTTGTGAGAGGTCTCCGCAAGAATAACAATCATACATTCATAGATAAGATGTAAAGGAGGGTGATGATAGAGGGGGACAAGGGTAAAATCAAGCTGAGGACAGGAGAAAGCGGTGGGCACGCTGCTGATATAAATCAAAATGTTGTTATCGCAAGAGGCTGTTTTGTGAAAGTGAAGCTTTACACACAAGAGAAGATATTCAAGCTCCTATGAGGTATCAAGTATCTTTAATATAACCACCAGTCACACATACCAGCATCCTTCTTATCCAGATCATGACCTCATGCATTTCTCACGCTTTGCGCCAGTCTGAGGCATCACGCCATCGCTATTATTATTACCAGACGCCAAAAAGGCACCAAAGAGAAGGGAGTGGACATAACACATGCACGCACGCACACACACACACACACACACAGCGGATCTGTTCAGACCACAAGAGGTCATTTTACAGATAAATCTCATTATAAATAAAATCTCTTCCTGTCATGTCCTGGCCTAGCGTCTGTAGAGATACCAGTGCACAAACATACACACACACACACACACACACACACACACACACACACACACACACACACACACACATTCCTGTTATACTGTATATCTTATTACATGTAGGCTTAGTCATTGTTTTTTTTACCAAAAGAGTGGGAAAAGTTTAACAGATTCAGGTTATTACGTAACAAAATGTCCCATTTAAACTTCACGCACTGCAAAACACCATGACACCGTACTTTTCTTTACAAACACAATTTACCGCACTGTACGGGCTCAATTCAACAGCAATTTCACCTGAGTCAGAAAACAAGCTTATAAACAGGACAGAATGCACTGCCTTCAGAAAATGAAATGTCCTTCTCATTATAAAGTGCTGTACTGGATAGATGTGAATGACAGCATACAGTCACTGATAAAATGTATCAGGCAACACACTTTCACAACGACAGCTGATGCACCAGTTGTCAAAATGAAGGCCAAATCATGGAATATCTCAATTAATAAACAGAATAAACAGAAAGCCTCTTTGACTATGTCATACAACTGTTCTTTTCTGGATGTCTACAATACTTATTTACTTGTCGATTGTTCATATGACTTAAATTTAGCATGTTTTTAGCTCCTGTTTTTCAGTGCCAAAGTAACATTGCCTGTCTCTGTGTTCATTACAGTTGTTGGACTGTGTAAACGCCACAGACAACATCGGAAATAAGTCCAAGACTTTATCATTTTATACCTAACAAACTCTAATAGGTTCTATTTTTAAAATATATATCTATATAAACCGAACCAAAAACAAGCTATGCAGAGGACAAGTCACAAGTTAATGACAGGATGATAATAAGGGGAACAAGACATGAAGTGAAAGGCTCATAAACTTGCCCAGCGGAGTAAAGTGGACTAAATCAGAAGCACGTCCTTTCATGGCTGGAGAAGCTTTAGCAATTCACCTTTTTTTTTATTGGAATAGGAAAATTATGAAAGCATGGGAGGCAGTGACCTTGGTGGGAGTTTACTGCTCTCTCTGTCCAGAGCAAAGGCTCCAGCGCCTTCCTTATCACATGTTAATCACCTTGCATGATGTAATGTTTGTTCTTCTATGTAGCCTCATTAAGGGAGCAGCTGTTCAGAATATGGCAGGGTTAATAGAGGGTGATACACAAGTAATAGAGGACCAGATATACATCAACCATCCCTCCGATTCTAAATCAATATCTGGATAATTGAATTAATGATTAATTCCTTGTGTACTCCATAATGTTGCAGAGCGAGGATGCAAAGGGCAAAGGGAAAAAGGTCAAGAGATGAAGGGGTGTGTTCAATGACCCTCCCTCCTGGCTCTGATTTCCCCTGATATTAGCCCTGCTGGAGCATCTGTCAAGATCCTTTCACACTGTCACCCGCCTGCACACACACTCACACACACTCACACACACACTACACACACACACACACACACACACACACACACACACACTCATTAGTACAAGGCTGACGAACCACAGACCTACATAAAAAATACACATAAAAGCACGAACCCACACCTTCATACTGATAGTTATCTTCACAGCACCTGAGCCACTTTTAAGGTCAGGTGAAAGGGTCGCAGACTCTATATAGCAGATGTGACAACACTCCGGAGGTGCCCACTCTGATGAACATCACCAGACCTGTCAGAGTTGGTTCCTACTGGACACTTTCTTTCCTCTAAATCAGCCACCCACCAACCAGCTGCTTTCTGTTCTGGCCGATAAGCAGAGAGTGCTGATGGCACTGAATTGTTCAGACCAGAACAACCAGTAATATGGTTACAGCTCACCATCATCTGCTGTGTTATTATGTGGGCATTTCCTGCAAACAGTAAGATTACTGATTACAGATAATGATGAGGCCTCTGTTTACTGAGGGTAACAACATGAAGCCCCTCTAGTTTAACCTGCACAACTAGATAGATACTCAAGACAGACATGAGTAAAGTCAATTTCACACAGCAGTGCTGCAGAGTGGGTCCCTGCAAGGCCTCTCAAGTCTGAGAATCCTGACTGGGGATTTATTTCCCCTGCAGACCGGGGCAACTGGAAAACCACGAGATAGTTTAGTATGCATGCATGTTGTAACTCACTAAAGCAACATAACTGGCCCAGCCAGGTTCATTTCTATTCTACACATTCACCAGCCATCACTGCATCTGTAGCCACTGGCACATTCCCCATTCAGCTCCACAACAAACATTGTAAAGACCAGCAGTCAATGGCCTGCCAAAGCAGCGTGTTTATCATTGCAGATGAGCAAAGTGTTATTGGAGGCAGCGGCGTGCAATTTCATCCTCAACACATACAGCACAGGGGATGTAGAACATTTTAAAAGAAATCATAGAAATAAAACATGCATTATATCTGGTTGCACTTGCAGACACAGAGCTACAGTTGTGAGTGTTGACAGACGGGGGCCCTTACATATCTGCTGATGATATTCCGGAGCAGGGTGAAATCCATCCTTTAGGCAGCTCCGGCGGCGACTAAACTGTGCAACAGAGACGTTCAGCTCTCCTCGGATCTTCGTAAACGCTACCTAATGTGGATCTTTCCACCAGTATCCATCGCTCTCCGCCGCCACCACCACCACCACCATCACCACCACCACCGCCGCCGCCGCCGTGTCTGTGATAGCGAGGAGCAGCGGTCTCTCAGTCGGCTGCTCTGATTTTCATGGCATCCCCGGGAAGAGCCATGCAGCGACCGAGCGATAACAACGACCCCCGCTCCCGCCGCCGGCTACATTTCAGGAGAAATGTTTTACCGCATGCAAACCTCCAAACCTCGTGGTAGTCTCTCCGGTCTACTCCTCGTCTGTTTAACAGTGTTATTCTTGCAGGAGACGGTCCCTCATGGAGGCAGTAGGTGTCCCGCTCTGTGTTACAGCGGTGGCCCTCGATGTAGCGGTAACAACGCTCAGCCCGTCAGATGACTACGCTGCGCATGCGCTCTGAGTATTTCTCGCCTCTCACGGAGTATATCTGAGTATGTCATTAAAGAAATAATCACCTCCACCTGCAGAAAGACCCTGACATCCATCAAAAGTCATAATCGGGTCAAAAAAAATCAGCAAAACTACAGAAGCCAAAACAAAATCAAGAGTATCTCACTGTGGTTGTGGTTTGGCAGTGTTATGAGCAATTTGAAGAAGTTTTTACCGACCCAGGCAGCATGGAAGAGGTAGTGATACCACAGTGTAAAATAGGCCTACTCTGTTACAAGTATGAGACAAATTTGTATTGAATATTTAAAGTAAAGTTAAACCCACTATAGAGGCATAACCTGCCTTAGTAACATTGTGGGATTGTTATTACTGATGTACACATGTCAGATACCGAGGTCCTTCCCAGTATTGTACTCAAGTACTGTACTTAAATAAATAAGTAAATGTACTACGTTACTGTTCCCATGTATATTAGGTCTCACTTTAATGAGCAATTATTGCATTATAATTATTAATATATGTTAGGCCTATATATAATATGCGTGACAGTATATTTAACCTCTGAGTATATTTAGTCAGAGACATTGCTCATGCCCTGAATGCCAGTTGCTTGTTTCCACAACATACTCTGACTGCATGCACATACTCTCTCACTTTGGGTTGCCAGAGTCTGAAAAATCCTTTTGGCTGGTGTTTATCCTTTTTATACTGTAATAATTATATTTTATTATAATTAATTATATTATATATAATCCATTAATGCTCATGGTGCTCTCCTTTTATAATGAGTTTAAATGTTAACAAGTTATTCATAATTGAATCCTTGAATAAGGGCCTTTAGTCATCAAGTCGGCAGTTGTAAGTGTTGATAAGGGGTGAGCAAAGTAGTTTTCACAACCTGACAAGCCAAAAGTTGCTCTTATTAAAGAATTGTAAATTATTTATTAACCTTTAATACAGGCATTAGATACAGGCTGATGTGACAAGAGCAAAGAAGCAGGAGTCCAGTAGATTTGTTAACATTATAATACCAACAAACCAATAGACAGAAATATCAAAGTTATCATCAATAGAACTAGTCAAGGTAAAAAAAAGTTAAAAGATGGTAAAAGGACTGTACTTACATAGCCGCTTTCTTACATGTCATATTCATCCATGCACACAGGCTGCCATGCAAGGTGCCAACTGCTCATCAGAAAAAAAAGACACGAAACAATAAGTCTACAGGCAGAGATAATAACAAAGTCAAAGCTCACTGTCTATGTTTCGTAAGAGGGCTCATGTTTACTGCAGCAACACAACAGCAATCCTGCTATTGTTGTCACACAATGTAACTTACAAAAAAACCATTACAATAACCCAACTGCATTTATGAGCAAATCTAAAATTAGCTGCACCTCCATCTATGGGGATCCTCTGGCTGAAGGGTGGCAGGGCGTGATGTCTGCCCCAGACGTTTCATTTGCGGAGTTATGACTTTCAATTAGCACAGACACTATTAATAATGCACAGGGATCCAGCACCCTACTAATGCTTGATGCTGCTGTTTACCTCCCTCAAGACCACAGGGCACTTAGTGTCTACTGATGAGTCAGCCTCAGTGGACAGATTACGACATGCTCTTTGTTTATGGGCTGTCACAATTATATGCATGTTGTGTTTTATGTCATTGTCATGTTGTGGAGCTATAAGAGTGCCTCTTAATGTCATTTTCTCACAGCAGAGAATTCTCCATCTAATTAACCACCCAGTCTGTGACTATATCTCTATACCTGACTCAAAATCTGATCAGCTACTGATCAGCAAATCTGATCCTATCTGATTTTTTTCCTCCCAAAGCTTGCCTCGATTTCCAGATGGCTGCTCAGTTTGAAGCATAGGCTGATGTTTCCACTGCTGTTGCTGTGATTATCACATAGCTGACTGACTACTACTGTTCCATCTGAGTGGAGAAACTGGGTCATTGTTCATTCTTTCCTTCTGTCTTCTGTGTGGGCAAGGGAGAACTACATATGGGGCAGTGGGTTACTTTCCTCATGTTGCCATCAGTCTTATGTGGGCAGAATCTGCAATCTGCATATTTCTGGACACAGTGTTTCCAGTTTTTCACATAAATAACACATAATAATGAGTGTTGATGCTAGTAATCAAGGCATGTCAAATCACATTTTCTACAGACACAGGGGCACACACTGACTGCAGAGGGTGGTGGAATACGGCAAAATTATACATGTTTACACCCTACTATAATTTTAATATTTGTCATGTCAGGTTGTAGTACTCATTGTTGATGCAATAAAGTGTAAATTCCTACTCATTTTCTGAGCTCCAAAAGGTCCAGGTTTACCATGGTAGTTAGTATGGGTAATTTGATTAACTGCAAATTTGCACCACGAAAGTGAAATGTCAACAAAAGTGGGTCCTGTAATATCTTGTGGCTCTGTGTTGACATTGTGTATTAGCTGAAACCTTAAACTGCTTCCCAGTAATGTTCTTCACTGGCGAACAGTTTTTTTGTGCTTAGTACAAATACAGTATCCAAATTGACCAGTTGACACATTTACACTGAGGAAGCCTCATAGGCTAGAGCATCAGACCATAACACAGAATAATGTATAATAATATTACAAAAATAAAATAAATATGCGATGCCATGTCTCAGTCTCTGCTCATAATGAGTCTACAATTTTGCATAAGTCTCATGTGAGTGAGAGTATTAAACAATGAAAATCTACAAAAGACATATAAAAAAAAGTGGGCAAGCCAACCAAAATGGAAAACGTATAGTTGAGTAATGACAGAATCACAGTAATTTGCATAAAATAAAGACAAATCTCTTGCCACCGTCTAGTCATATAGTAAAAGGCGAACAGGTTTACTATCACTCTTTATTGTATCTAGTGTAATCATTACAGCTCTTGTTGCAGTGCAGGCAGCTGACTCTGTACTATTGTCAGCACAAACAGTGGATCCTATTATGCTGTGGATATGAATTATCCCTGTATCAACTCCCTGACTGCAGAAAATAAAGAATATGGGGCAGTTGTTGTGAGGAACAACTGCATTTATTTTGGATAGGCAGCTACTGAATGAGTGAATACAAGTGAGAACAATCAGTCATCAAGTATAAAATACGGCAGAGATGACCACAATTATGTCATCAGATTTTAGAAATGTAAACAGAGCTTTTTCATTTGGTGCTTAAAAAGAAAAGAAATTTACTTCTTTCAATACATTGGAAATGTGCTTGTTTTACATTAGTACAAATAGGCCTCACATAAGCTTTTCTGTACAAAAAGTGTTAGAAATATATTTATATAATCCACTGGATATTCCCACCATATTATAGTAGCAGTAATAATTACAAACCAAATTATAAAACAGAATAAATGAATCCTGACAAATGTGCTTCAAGTTTCATGAATTTGTGGTGGCTAATGACTGCTGTAGGACCCCTAGATGAGGATAACAGAGGTGAGAAAATAGATCCTAATGCCTTCCTAACCTGTTCTTAATGATGGTTTTAAAGTAAACCAGAAAGCTAATTAATTCTAAATCATTGGTTCCCCTGGTAGCCAATTTAGCTTCTCAAAACTCAGGTGTCTTCTCAACTGTCCCAAATGGCTCCACCCTCCCCCCAGCATTCTCCTGTACAACACCTCTCCATCTGCCCCCCCTCCTTCTCCCCCACTCCCTCCTCCTCCTCCTCCTCCACTGATGACATCTGCACCAACCCCCGCCCAACGGTGACTACAGGCCAGGTAAAGAGGCAGCTGGAAAGACTGCATCAGCGAAAGGCTGCAGGACCTGATGGCATCTCACCCAGGATCCTGAAGACCTGTGCCAGCCAGCTGTCTCCTGTACTGGGACATCTGTACAACCTGAGCCTGAGTCAGGAGAAAGTCCCGTTGACCTCCTGCTTGGTCCCTGTCCCCAAGAAGTCGAGGCCATCCGACCCAGTAGACTACAGACCAGTCGCCCTAACATCGCATGTGATGAAGGTCCTGGAGAGACTGGTCTTAGCCCAGCTGAGGCCACAGGTGAGGACGTTTCTGGACCCTTTGCAAATTGCCTATCAGCCCCATTTAGGAGTCGATGATGCTGTCATCTACCTGCTGCAACGAGCCCATGTGCATCTGGATGGTGGGGGAGGTTCTGTGAGGATCACATTCTTTGATTTCTCCAGTGCTTTCAACACCATTCAGCCTCTGCTAATGGGTGAGAAGCTGCAGGTGGTGGGTGTTGACGACACTATGATCTCCTGGATTACTGACTACTTGACAGGCAGGCCACAATTTGTCCGTCTGGGCAGTGTCCTGTCTGACGTGGTGGTCAGTGATACAGGAGCTCCACAGGGAACTGTGCTTTCTCCCTTCCTCTTCACCTTATACACCACTGACTTTCAGTACAACTCTGAGTCATGTCACCTGCAGAAGTTTTCTGACGACTCAGCTGTTGTCGGGTGTATAAGAGGGGAGATGAGGGTGAGTACAGGACACTGGTAGACAACTTTGTAGAGTGGTCCGAACAGAATCACCTGAGGCTGAATGTCAACAAGACCAGAGAGATGGTGATCGACTTCGGCAGGAAGAAGAGGATGCCTTCACAGCCACTACGGATCAGGGGGGAGGTGGTGGAGGAGGTGGAGGACTACAAATACTTGAGAGTGGACTGGAACTGGAAATCTAACACCGAGGCTGTGTACAAGAAGGGGACGAGCAGACTATTTCCTGAGGAAGCTGAGATCCTTCAACGTGTGCAGCAAGATGTTGAGATCTTCTACCAGTCTGTTGTTGCCAGTGCCATTTTCTTTGCTGCTGTGTGTTGGGGCAGCAGCATCAGAGCCAGTGACACCAACAGACTTGATAAAATCATCAAGAAGGCTGGCTCTGTGCTTGGTCTCAGGCTGGAGTCTTTTGAGTCTGTGGTAGAGAGGAGAATGCTGAATAAACTGTTATCCATCATAGACAATGATCAGCACCCTCTCCATCACACAG